GATAATAGATTTAGAACTGGAAAAGATCTCAGAGGTCAAATAGTCCAACCCCCTCATTTTACAGATGAAGAAACTGAAGCCCAGAAATTAAATGACTTGCCCAGGACCCCACAGCTAGTAAGTCTCTGAATCAAGATTCAAATCCAGACCAGGATCCAGACCAGAATCAGGAGACACCATGTCTAGAACTCTACTCACTACACGCGATGAGCCTCTCACCAATTTGCCCAGTCTGAAAAACTAGCCTAGCCTTCAACCCATCCCTAGTTTCCCCCTGGAAGCCTTTCTAGCATGGTAGGACCTGGTGTTGATTCTTACCTGGCACAATCAGCTAAGCACCAGGAAAATACTGTGTCCTGATACTCTAGCATTTAAAGCATCTACTGTTTCCCTTGGAAGCTTTCTTTGACTTCTTAGGAGATAGGTGATAGCTTCCCTAATCCCTCCCTGTCCAAACAAGTTTCAAGCAGAATGGAAGCTCTTAACTTAGTGACTCTTGTGGTTTGTCAATTTGGGGGTGTTTTTTTTTCCTCCAGTGCCTAGCATAGTGCCTGGCAAACTGTGGGCATTTAAATAATGCCTGTTGAGAGGGAATCAAACAGGAAGCTTCCCCTACTCTACAAATACACTTAATCCTGTATTTGTAGATGGCCTGGTAGATAATGCAAATGAATACCCTGTTAGCTGGGTTATTTGTTCCATGTTTGCTCCCAGGATGGCCAAACTTATTTCCTCACCCTATATTTGCAAATGGCATTTCCATTTTTTAATATTCCATCTTGAAAAGAGATTTCAACCTGCTTGTAGCATCAGCCTTGGTGTGGAACAGCTATCTCTTTCTTCACAGTGCACAGATAAAATGAAATTTTGCTTTATGACCTGAAGTTCAGTACTCATCTCTCTTGGTTGTTCCCTTCCCCCCTCCTGTCTCTCACAGGAAAGAAAGTATGAATCTATTGTCACACACACCTACCTTCCTGTCATTTTCACAATCTTTTTTGAGTATGCTTTCAGTCAAAGGCACTCTGTTCTCACCCCCTTTCTGTGTTTATTACATTCACCACCACCAGCCCCCCACACACACCTGGCTCCTGGTCTGGCCTCTCCTTATGGATACATCAACATTCTCAGCAAAATTCACTGCTCCATAGTCATTACTGATGGACTCTGGAACTCAAAGGGGATTAGGGAGATGTGGGACAGTTTACAGAGCAGAAGACAGGTTAAGAGTGAAGGAGTAAAGGCATATTGGTAATTAGAAAAGGGTGGAACTAATTCTATGCAAAGAGAGAGGGGCATCAGTTCTGGGCAAGGAAGGAGGGGCTCCAGCCAGGAAGAGGCAGGGAAGTGCTAGGCACTGGGCAGGAGGGGCCAGATGGGGGAGGGAGGAGATGATGCGGAAGGGGCACAAATGTAGCACAAGGCACCAAGAGCTGCATTCAGACTTTTACAAATTCAGAGCTGAAGGAGACCATAGAGTACAGAAATGACTTATCCAAGGTCATAGTACTAGTTCTTGGAACATCAAAGATAACAGTGCCAGACTCAGGCCCTGTAGCCCTCCTCTTTTACAACAATAGATCCCTACTGCACAGAGAATAAACACAAACTCCTTTGAGTCTGACCTTTAAGGCTCTCTATAATCTGGCTCCAACCTACCCTTCCCACCCTATTTCATACTCCTGCCTTTGGCTTACTATCCTAGCTGGCCTCTTAAACAGCTCCTGGTTCTCTTCCTATTTTGTGCATTCACAAGCTCCTTGCCGTATCTGAAGGTGCTTCCTCATCTCGACCTGTTAAAAATCTTCTCCCTTAGCTTAGAGATTCAGGTTAGAGGACACCTCCTCCATGAAGTCTTCCCTGATCTCTCTGGCTAAAAGTGCTCTCTCCTTCAAATTTTCCTAGAAGATGCTGTCACAGTCTACTCTGCAACAGACATATGTGCATGGGTATAACAGATAGAGTTCAGGACTTCAGAGACAAGAAAACTTAGGTTTGAATCCTGTCTCAGATTCTTATTCCTACATTCCTCTGGACAGGTAGTCACTTAATTTCTCAGGTCCTCAAGTGTGCTCATCAGTTAAATGAAAGGGTTGACTTGGATGGTCTCTGAGGTCACTGACAGTTCTACATTTCTATGAACCATGCGATTTTGGTCCTTCACTCTTAGCATGCCTCCTACTCTGTTAAGCTGCCCCTCACGCCAATCCTATGAGCCTTATAGGTAAGACATCCTATGGTTAGCCTATGATTGACTAAAAGGGGTCTTCATTAAAAAAAAGAAAGTTAGAGAGAACCAGAATCCTTTTCTAATACCACTTAAGATGATGTTTGTGACTTATCCCTTCAAAGCTTCCCTGGAAGCTTATAGTGACCTGATTTCACCTGTACAAACAGGTGTGTGAAGGGATGGGGGTTGGGGGGAGAAGAGGAAGGGAAGCACAAAGCACAGCTACCATTCTTAGCCACATTCAAATAGCCAGAAGGAAAAAAGACACAAATGCCAACTTCGCCTTCTCTGCCAGCCTATTCTCTTCCCCATCAGCCCCACCCTCTTTCATTTTATCCTAATTTCTCAACCCAGTCACACACCCCATGGATTTTCCAGATTTTTTTCCCCCTTCCCTAGGGAAATCACCCTCCCTCCAAAAAAAAAGTAAACTGAATTTAATACAACCTTCAAACATACAGAAAGCATTCTCCAAAGCAAGACAGTATCTGGGCATGGATAAACAATCATAATGGTCTCCTGCCTAGCCCGTTGTCTTTTTAGGCCCTTCCTACCCCAGAACTTCTGGAGGACGTCTGGCTGAGCTTGCTGTTATCCTGAGACAGACAAGGGTTCTTCTCATATGGCAAAGAAAGTGACCTGGATTTCTGGGAGGGAAACTGACAACCTCTTTCAGAGAACAGCAAAGAGGTGGCTGGATTCAAAATTCCGGCAGGAAGATCAGCCTAAAGGTCCTAAGGATGTTTGTTCCCTTGCTAGATGTGAAAATTTGGGGAGGGACAAGATAACTGTTCTCATGTCTCTGAAGAGGTGCTAGGCAGTAGAGAGATTATGTCGTTTAGCTCCAGAGAGGGGAACCAGGACTAATTGGTCAAAGTTACAGTTTACTATTTTTTTTTTTTAAATGCAAAGTACTTGGGCTAGGCATAAAGGCTAGGCAGAAATATGAGATTCTTAAGGCAAGTACAATCTAATTGGGGGGTGGGGAGAGGCACACACATCTAGACTTCAGAATTGGAAAGGACCTCAAGAGATCATCTAGTTCAAAAGCCCTCATCTTACAGATAAGGGAGGTCCAGGGATGGACACACCATTCTAAATGCATGTAAAGCCAAGATCTGAACCCTATTTCCTCTGACTCCAAATCCATTGCTTTTTTTCCACTACTAGATCATAGGTAAGGGATAAGTATGATGGCATCTTGCCATGGAAACAACACTATAAAAGGTAGTGGCATACTCAAAATTCAGAGGAATAAGTCATATAGTGAGGAGTTGGGGATATTCGTGTGTGTGTGTGTGTGTGTGTGTGTGTGTGTGTGTGTGTGTGTGTGTTAGGGGAGAAGCACAGGCAGTACCAAATAAGAGATTCAGAGAATGTCATCTACTTTGAGTATGGACGATCTCTACTACAACTAAAGCATTTTACATTACTCAATAAGATTTCAGGGCTTTGAAAAAGGTCTGGGTTTCCCCAGGTGAGGGGTAGGGGCCCACTCGGAGCTGGGAATTCTCAAATGGGTCATGGAAAGTGGTTCAGCCATCCCCCTCAATTCAGCCCTATTTTTCCAGCCTCTGTCTTCTCTAAAGCACTTATTTGCCTTTCCTGTATACGAGCGATCAAGAGCACGGATTCTCAACAGTTTGCGGTCTAGAGACAAATGAGAAAGAGTAGGAAGAAAAAGCAGAAAGAAAAACAAACTTCCGGATTTTCCCCTCAATGACAACCTGCCCCCCCCAATTAAATCTTACATAGCACTGTTTTATGATGCCTTCCTGATGTATTGTTATTATTATGTATTATAACTCTCTCTTTCGCCTGTTAACAAACTGTCATAATAAGTTTAAGACAGCTTTGTGATTTAATTTTTCCACTCAATAAAATGCCATGAGGTAGCCTCCTTATACCATGTGGTCAGTGGACTACTGCCTCCAGAGTCAGAGAAACTGGGTACAAATGCTGCCTTTGTGACCTTGAATAAGTCTTGGGTCTATTTAATTCGAAAATGTACATGGAGATGGGAGATGTCACAGCCCCCCACATCAGAAGCAAACTGCCAAACCAAATTAAAATATCATTGGGAAATATTTAACAAAACAAATAAAAACACAACACAACACAGATAATGTTAATTTGTGGTTTTCTAAGTCAACAGCAGTTTCTGTCTGAGTATGACACCACTTGAGATGGCCCCCAGATAGGTGGTCCCTTCCAGCTGAAGCTCTATGATCTATCAAGATGTACAATGACACTCTACACACATAAAGTGCTCACTGAGTACTCAACTAAACACACAATCCATCAATCATTAGTTCCCACTAACTGCTAAAAAATCAAACAAGACAAAGCCAACTCGTCAGAATCAACAGAAAAAATTACTCTGCTTTTAAATGGATGCACACTACAAGTGGCTATTGTAGCATTAGTGTTTAGGAAAAAGGACAAGGGACCAGCTCACAGAAGACCATTGGCCACCCCTCCCTTTCTCCCCCAGTACTCTGGATACAATGAAAAGAAAAATGAGAGCGTTTCAAAAGGATCACTCTAAGTGTCTGCCATTTGGATAAATGACTGGTATTTGTCGAGAATACCCTTCCCTGAGATTTCTCTGTCTCAGAAATGGCCAACACAATGACCTTTTCATTCTGTGATGCACACCAGCGGCCTCCTGGGGTCACCCACAGCTCAGTGTGGATGGAGGAAAACAACCATCAGTTACAGGAGGTTAAACTTTCTCGTCTACTGAATTGATGAAAGCACATCCACTTACCCAGTAACACCAGGGAAGCCAGAGCTTGGAAACAGCACTTCATATCTGCTCCTGGGAAGGGAGAGAACATGTGGCCCTTGCTTTTCTCCCAGTATTTGTTCTCTATTCCTTAGCTGGTCACTTCTGAGTTCCAAAGGATCTCTTTGGAAGTGGAATTTGACGGGGAGAGGAGAAGCAGTTTATGGAAAAGGGGGGCAGAGGGTAAGGTAAGGCATCTGGGAGCTACAGCACTGCCCTATACTAAGTGAGGTGTCCAGATTCATCCTGAAGCCGGTCCAGTTCTCTGCCACATTACATGTCCTGCTCTGTTTCCGGACTCACAGCGAATCCTTTGGGATTAAACCTCAAGCAAAACGGAGAGAAGAGTTTTTAAAAATCCTTTCATCCACCAAAGCTGAATTATACGGGGATGTCCTTCGCCTCTCCAACAATGCAACACGCTCTGTAGCTCAGGATTGTCCAATTAAAAAAACTGGTTTAGTCAAAACCTGAGACACCCCTATCGGAAGGACTGGCAGCAGGTAGGAGGTATTTGGGGTTTTTCGTCAATGGGTCCACTTCTTTGCATTGTCGTGAGGGTCACAGCCCTACCTCCTGTTTCAGGCCGGTCCGATGAACACGAAAGCAAGCTGGACTGTCAGCAATTCCGAAGCAGCCATATAAAAAATGACTCTCGATTTCTAAAACAAGCAGATTGTCGTAAAAGATAAAAGTAGCAACAGCAAGACCTAGACAAGACAAGCAAGTGAGGCGTCCTGAGATCTGGGACTCGTTCCTTGGCTTTGCTAGGTCTGACCTTCAGCAAGTTATTGAACAGGCCCGTGCCTCAGTTTCCCTGCCTGGGTCAGAGTAATACTGGGAAGATCCTTGCTCCTGGAGTACTTTTGGGAAACCTACACTTCTGAGATTTCCCTGTGCTTTCTTCCTAGTCCCCAAGGCTTTGAGTTGGCCCCACCCTCTGAGCCCGAGCAGGCTGGAAAGGGGTTTGGAGGTACATCAGGGTGCCCTTGTTCCCACTTACTCCGCTTCCTCCTCCCCCCTCCCAAGGCCCGGCCCCGCCCCAAGGGACCCCCCTCCTAGAACGTGGGCGCTTAAGGCGCCTGCCGGGTCCCAGGTGGCCCCGCTATTGTTTTACCTTCCCGGGTGTTTGTTTTGCGCCGATTGTAAAGAAAGAAAGAAAGAAAGAAAGAACGAACAAGGGGAGGGGAGGTCCAAACATGGAAAACCACTCCCCCAGAATGGGAGCCGGGGGCAGGCAAAGGGGACTGGGAAGAGGAGGGCCGGGGGCGAGCTGCCCCCTCGCCGCCAGCCCCGAGCGGAGCCGGCTCTCGGCCCCGCCGTCGCCCCCCGCTGCCCGCCTCGCCCGGATCTCACCCCCGTCCTTCCTCGCTCGCCTTGTGGCCCCTCCGCTCGGAGCCCCGCGCCCGCCCCGCGCCCCAAGCCCCGCGCCCTCCACCTTCTCACTGACCTGGTCCCCGGACCTTGCCCGCTCCGCCGTGATTTTTCCGTAAGCCTCAAGGGACCAGCCGCTTCCTCCTGCAACCGCACCAGCAGCTGCTGCTGCTCCGAGGCGGCCCCGCCTGTGTCCCCGCCTCCTCCTCTTCCTCCTCCTCCTCCTCCTCCTCGTCCTCTTGGCTCACCCCCGAGCCGGAGCCGGCTCCCGGGAGCCGAGCTCCGAGAGGAGATGGCAGCGCAGCGGCTGAGAGCGAGGCAGCGAAAGAACGAGCGACCGACCGAACTGGGCACTCACCGCCCCGCCCCCGCCGGCCCCGCCCCTTCTAGGCATTGTACAGCTGGGGGAGCCGGGGCAGATGTGTGGGCCACCGTCACCGCTGGCCGGACCCCTTCCCCTGCGGCGATCCAGGCTGCCGGCTTGTAGAGTTTTGTTAGGTTTTTGTTTTTTTTGATTCCCAACTAGAAGCCAGGAGGCGTGGGCCCCATTATCTCGTAACTAACTCTCTAGTTGAGCTCTCTGAATTTCCTCACAGGCTCTGAGACACATCTCTTTTGTTTAAAAAAACGTATTTGCATTATGTTTTGAAGTTGTTAAATCACTGCAACCTCCCAAGGACCCTTCTGTATTGGGAAAAATTTGACCTACAGTAGATCGGCAGTGCTTAGCACAGTGCCTGGCACATAGTAGGTGCTTAATGTTTATTGACTATTTATTGATTATTCTTTCCAACAACAAACATACTTAGCATCTGCTGGGTGTAAAGCTAGTGCCCGTGGATAAAAAGCTAAGGTTCTCGCCCCCTGGGAACAGCTAGTCTAGTATGGTCCAATAAATTCGAATGTGATAAGTAATAAGAAAAGTCCACACTGTTAACGAAAAATATATAGGAGTTAGTCATCTAATTCAACCACCTCAATTTTTCAGACGGGAAAATAGATGCTCCAAGGTTAAATGTGCCTGTTCAAGGTCACACACGTAGTAAATTACAGAATCAGGATTTGAACCCAGGACTTTTTTGAGTGAAGAGCTAGGAACTTGTTCCTGAACTACTCTGCCTCAACTTAAAAAAAAAAAAAAGAGTGCCCAATGAGGGTCTTGAATCTACAGCCTTTCACTGGAAAAGGAACAGGTTGAAGGTGAAATCCAATGACTCCATTTTTGGACCTGTTGGGTTGGAGATGTAGGTAGAACAACAAGGTGAAAGTACAGGCAGCAATTGGAAATTGCATTTTAAGAAATAGTCCAGCTAGATTTAATCCCTTGTTACATTTCTGCAAATATCTACTGAGAGCCCAGCATTGCTTCAAACCATGCCAAGAGCTGCCAGGGATACAAAAGAAACATGTTACATAGCATCTGTCCTCAAGGAATTTATAATTTTGTTGAAGAGGAATAAAACGTATATCCAAAATAACTGGAGAAAAATTCATAGCACAGTATGTACAGTAAGAGACAATAAATTTTATTGGATACTTATCTCAGCAGCAGGACCATAAGATTTAGAGGTAGAAGTGACCTTTGAGATCAATGTTGCTGAGGCTCACGCCCTCATTAGAAGAAAGAAGGGTTTGAGAAAAACATTTTGATTTTGACTGTTGGTGACAATAATATAAATTTTCACCAACATGTTCCTGCCCATTTTGGATCAGTGGGAGGCTTTGCAGGTTACCACAACAGCTACTGCTCAGTTATTTCTGGAAACTTTTCGGACGATTCTCCTGCTTATACTTCCAAAGAATCTACAGGCATTAAGAATGCAAAGAATGATTCCAGAAACAAAATATGATTCACAGAGGCAAGACACTTTAAAGACGATTTAGGAGAAAGTGCAGATTTTCAATCCACCGGTCTGGGTAGAAGATGGGATTGCCCAGTGGGATGCTCAGTTCAAAGCTGTTTCTTGTGGGTAGAGGTAAAACAGAAATCCATGGCAGGATATTCATTAGGCATTCATTCAATAAACTTTATTATGTACTTCCAGGATATAGAGGACTACTTTGACAATAAGGAGATAACAAAGTTCATACAAGACATTATCTCAGCCCTCATGGAGCTTACTGTCTACTTAGTAGAGAATAAAACAGAAACCCACAGAGCAATAATCTACATCATATAATAACTTGGTCTAGAAATGTTTGTGACAAAGTGCTATGTGAGGTCTGTGTGGGGAGCCCCAATACCAATGGTGCAGCATAAAATGATATACTCTATTTTCTTCAGCATTAAAGAAACCTTTACATGACCCCACGATTAAAGAAACCTATCTATGACCCCAGCATTTCTTCCTTCATGGCCAAATCTCTTGACTAGGTAGTTTATAGGTGCTGTTTCAATCTCCTCATCACTTTCTTCTCTGCCTTCTCTATTTCTTACTTCTAAGAAATTGCTCTATTTCAGGGGACCTAAAGCCATCTCCAGAATTCTGTGAGAAGAGCTATTGAACTGTTCATTCCCTTTGACCCAGCCAGCCTTCTCGGCATCCCTCTGTCTCAGGCCCACCTCCTCTTTCTGGGTTCTCTTGTTTGAAACATACTATGAGGCCACTTTTGTGTAGTGGTGAACCTTACAAGCAGCTGACCTGGCCCTTGATACTTTTTTGGGGGGTGGGGTGGTGTGGGGGTGGACCAGAGCACTGGAAACTGCCAGTAGAGGAATGAGGGTGAGCTAAGTCTAGTAAAGCAAAAAGCAGATACCAACTCTCAGACTCACAAGACCACATCGCATCCAACCGTCACCTCCATTGCTTTAGTCTCGAAGAAAGACGTGGTCTTCGTCCATACAAACTCCAACTAAACTTGCTTACTAGCTATATATGCAATGGATAGAGCAACAGTTCTGGACTCAAGACCTGAGTTCAAATCCAATGTCAGACACTAGCTGTGTGACCCTGGGCAAATCACTCTTTCTGTTTCAGTTCTTCAACTATAAAATGGGGATAATAATAGCCCCGACCTCCAGGGATTCTTTCAAGGATCAATTGAGATAATATTTGCAAATGTGCTTAGCACAGTGCCTGGTCTGTAGGAGGTACTATGTGAATGTTAGCTATTATTATTATTATATGTTGAAAGTAATTAATGTCTGTGTATAAAGTATCCTAACAATTTTTCAGACTTTCTTCCAAAATTCTCACTGGGATCCTTTATTTTTGTCCATTTGGTCACAGTCACTTCTCTATTTTTACTTTTTTTTTCTGCTTTGCATTAGTTCATAAAGGTCCTCTGAGATTGTGAGGGGTTGAGAAATGAGTGGGAGGTGAAGGTGTAGAGAACGAGTCTAGACAGCTTTTTTCTAGCAGTTTGTGAAAAGGAATAGAGTTATAGGAGGTTAGCTCAAGGGGAGTGTTTTCAACAATGGGGGAGTTCTGAGCATGTTTGTAAACAGCGGGGAGCATGCCAGGGGGAAGTGAATCAACTTAAAGTTAGGTTAGGGAGAAAAAGGGAATTAAAAAGGCAAAGTCATGGAGGAGATAAGAAGGGATGGGATGGAGGAAGCAAGAGAAAAAATCATTGGGACCAAGAGGCCAAACAAAACATCCCAAGAAAACTTTAAGGGAGTAATGAAAACATGAGGCATAAGAATAGGTAATATTGATCTAGCTCTTACAATAATACTTTATACATTTAGTTTAATTTAAAACATAGATATATACATTTATAATTTAAACATAAATAATTGATAAGCAAGTTTAGTTGGTTTCACTGTTGTTCGAGGTTAATTTTTTAATAACATGATTTAAAAAAAAAGAAGGAATGATAAGGTAGTCCATAGGAACTTCAAGGCTATACTAATCTGGGGTACTAGGGGGGGCAGAAGTAGAAGACATGGGCATTGACTTGAAAAAAGTTCAGAGGATTTCTGCATTCATCTGCTGTCATCAGTAATACTTAATATTGACAGAAGCTGAATAGACATATCAGTACTTGAAGTAAACTCCACACTGCTCTACAGAGTGGTGACTTCCTGTCTGGAATCACCATTTTAGCAAGGACCCAACTATGTTTCATCTAACTCACATATGATCTCTCTCTCTCTCTCTCTCTCTCTCTCTCTCTGGACTTTCCTTCTCCCTACCAATTTATCATCACCCAGGAGGAACTCTGCCTTGGAGCCCTGCAGCACGATTGGAGACCGTCCTCTCCTTACATCTTCCTAATCTGTTGTAGTCTTTCCCCATGTAAACTACTTGAGCATACAGACTGTTTTGCCTGGAGTACTCTATCTAATAAGTGCTTAATAAATGCTCTGTCTTAAGAAATGACAAGCAGAATGGTTTCAGAAAAACCTGGGAAGACTTTTATGAACTGATGCAAAGTGAAGTGAGCATAGCCAGGAGGTCATCGTACACAGTAACAACATTGTTGTACGGTGATCAACTATGAATGACTTAAGCTCTTCTCAGCAGCACAATGATACAAAACAATACCTAAGGAATTATGATGAAAAATAGCATCCATCTCCAGAGAAAGAACTGATGGAGTCTGAACTCAGATTAAAGCAAACTTTTTAAACTTTCTTTATCTTTCTTTTTTTATTGTTTTTTGGTCTGTGTTCTCTTTTGCAACATGGCTAATATGGAAATATGTTTTGCACGTGTATAAGCTATATCAAAGAGTTTGCCTTCTCAAGGAGGAGGGAAGGGAGGGAATTTGGAACTTAAAAATTATTTTTAAAAGGGAATGTTAAAGTTGTTTTTACATGTAATTGAGAAAAATAAGATAAAAACATTCTTTATGTATAAATAAATGTTCTACCTATCAATCTTTCTATCTTTAAGGGCCTGTGATTTCATTATTCAGGTCCTCCCTCCACCAATGCAGACTGTCACCTTGATGTAACCTAGGAGATAGTCAAGAGTTGCTATAACCAAAAAATCCACTACCCTGGGGCCAACCTGATAATTCTCTGGGAATTTAGACTGGTTCTCAAATGATAGACAGTCCATCACAAGGCTGCTTATATTCAAGGCCTTTCTGGCTTGGCAAGGCCTGCCCAAGCTTGCACTTTATTGGCACAATCTTCAAATACCTAGGGTCAACTATCCTTACCCTGATGAGGCATTAGACTCAAACTTTAGTGAAGGGCTAGCATGAATGCCCATTCATAATTGGTAATTTGC